GTGATTGAGCTTGTTTTTTTGACTCTTTTGGATGTGTGTGATCAACGGGTATATTTGAATGCACGTACGTAACTACAGAAGTATTGTAAGTCTGTCCAGCAGTTGAGACAGGCACACTATAAGATTCCTTGGCCAATCTAGTGGAGTCGCTCACTGATTGGCCCCGTCTTTTACCTCCTCGATCTTGGTCTCCTTCCTGAGTTCTTTGTCCTCTTTCTGTAACTCCGCTATCTGTGCTCGTATGTCTTCTCGGGTTCTCTTCTTCTTCGGGCAGTCCTTGGCCATGTGCCCCTTCTGACTGCAGGTAAAGCATTTTCCTTCTTTCTTTAAGCGGTCGATGTCCATAGGCTTTCTGGCTCTGGTATATGTCGTTCCAGTGCCTGTCTTCTGACTTCCGTAATTAGGTGTCAGAGGGGATCCCGATGATTTCTCAGCAGTTTGCCCTGGCTTGTTCGGAGTTGGCGGGGTCGGCTTTTTGGAGTATTCCTGTAGCATCGTTGCCTCTGCTTTCTGCCTTTGTCGCTCCTTGTACATCTCAACGATTTGCTCCTTCCATTCGTCATATCCCACAGGCATCAACATTTTGACGCCCATGGCTGAGATCATCGTGAGGTACGAGGAGGGGACCCCTCGTTTGAGCGCTTCCACCATCCTCCCATCATTTGCAGTATCGTCCCGGATCCCTGCTAGTTTGGCAAGCTGTTCCAACTCGTCAAAGTAATCGGTTGCTGCCTTATCTCCCATCTTATATTCCTTGATCTTCTGTTTGTGTACCTCCTGGACTGCAGGGTCGATGAATTTATTGTTTAGCATTCGCTTGAATACTGGCCATGAGGGATAACGGTAATGTTCCCTAGTGGTGGATCGGAAATTTGGGGAAATCAAGATCCACCATGTTTTGGCTTTGTCTTCCAGATATGAGGTAGCGAATGCGACCTTGTTCATGTCAGTCCCGATGTATCCCATGTAGACTTCGAAATATTGTTCGCAATCTACCAAGAATCGATCGATGTCGTCAGAGGCTCCCTTAAAGGGACGAGGCTTCTGGAGGAGGTCAGGATGGCATTGTAAGACGTTAGCGTTATGTGGGAGTGGGCCCATCGGGTTGGGCCAGCCATCAAACAGTGGTTGATTCTATTCCGCAGGCAGTCCCGGGAAGGAATGCAACGAGTTGTCGTCGGCGACCAGGCTTCCTTTCAGGTCGACTACGCGAACGATGACGCCATCCTATACTGTGAACCCAAGGCAGACTGCCTCAGGGTCATCCCGAATGGGATCCTTTCCGCTTGATTCCACCTGGTCCGGAGGTGGCTGTCCTCCAAGGAGTCGGCTTCCTTTGCTGGTCCATGGATTTTGAATCCTGATAGGCTGTCGTGCCGGTGGATTCCTGGTTCAGGTAAGCCATGAAGCCATGCTTCGGATCGAGGGGGCAGTGTAGACAGCTCATTTTGGCAGTACGGGAGGGGTATGCAGCATTGGTGCCGGTGTCCTTGGTTTGTTGGGAGGTTGATATGGGGGTATTGGCACGAGCAGGTCTTCTGGGTGCCGCCGGCCATACTCTCTCCATGCGTATTCTGTCATGGCATACTGCAAAATTCTTTTCTTTTCAGTTTCTTCTGCATACCGGTATTCCAGTCCTAAAGACGTCGCTTGCCAGCACACGTCTTGCTATAAAAAGTTCCTCCTCTGCTCATACAGCTCCTGGTACTTCCTGTTCCTTGCTCTTTCCATTTCCTCCCTCAAGGCTTCTTCATCAGTATCCTCTCCTGCTCGCTCCATTTGTTGCTAGTATGGGTCGTCACTGTCCTCTTCACCCTCCTCGTCACTCTCGTCCCCGCTGTCCCCTTCCTCGAGGAGGGAACGGACGGGCTGGTCGTAGATGGACGGTACGGCTGGACGAAGGGTCATTGGTGACCCCTCCGTTGACTTGAGTGCTGGGTCCAGTGGCTTCTCGGTTGCTGGTCCGGGCGATGGGAGGGCTCCTGAGTCGGCTGTAGTGCGTTCCTCTGTGCATTCTCGTCTCCTCCAGTTCTCGGCTATAGAGGCTGAAGTGTCGTTGGAACTCAGGGTTAAGGAACTGTCGAGTGACTCTGCTGCCCAGGAATCACTGGAGAGCCCTGTCGGAGACGTGGGCATTGTTGGGTACTTGGAGCCCGTAGGCTCCGAGAACGGAGTCGACATCCGAGGAGATGGTGTCGGTGCGGGCAGGGTATTTGGGGGTGGGAGGTCGAGATTCCCCTGTCCTCCCTCGTCTAATGGCCTCGTTCCTGCTGACAATGCTGGCAGGTCCCATCCATGGGTTGTCTTTTGAGTCGGGCTCCCTGAAGGGAGACCTGGAGCCGGTGCAAAGCCCGTACCCACTGGGGGAGGCTGACCCCAGCCTTTCGGCTTCCTCTCTTCTTTGTCGGGCCCTTCCTTGTCTGTCATATTCTGCGGCCTCGTATTGCTCTCGGGCCTCTTCTCGTACATAGTCGGCGAGCTCCTCCTGGGTTCACCTAATTTCCTCCTCTCTGTCCTGATTCTGCTGCTGCTGTCGTACTGCTTTGTCGTAATTGAAGGGAACGGTAAGATCCCAGTCTGGGAATATTCAATGTATGATTCTATCCTGCACAGCTCTTCCCCTTTCACTGGCGGTTCCGACCTCAGGTTCGCTCCCCATGTGGAGATGTCGGAAGGGGTCTCCTGCTGCAGAGATGGCAATCTCTGCGTTCATATAGTCGGGATGGATGATCCTTCCATGCGGATCGTCAACCCCCAGCCTGCTGACGGACTGGCTGGAGCTGGAGTGGGGCTCGGTGGGGGTCTCGGGGGGGTTCTGGGGGGAGTCGGGACTTTCGTGGGGTCCCGTAGCCATCTGAGCGGCATCAAGGGAGTCTCAAGCATGGTTTCCAATCCCTGAGGGAATTGGGGAGGCGGAATGCTCAGGGGAACCTGCTGGAGTGACATAGTTGGAGACCTCTGTGGGCTCCTGAGCGATGTTCGTCATCCACAGGTTCCGGAACCCTGTGAGCACAGGGTGGCGGTTTCTGCCGTTTCGTCGAGGGGGGTGTTGGGGTCCTTCTTCCTCATGAAGGCTTCCCGAATCTGAGTCGTTATTCCTGGTTTCTGGTACGGGTCCCCCTTGTGGGAAGAAGGACGTTCTGGCAGAGGGGAGGATGTCATGGAAAGGGAGATCAGGGGTTGCGTTGCATAGAATTTGTTGAATGTGCTGGAACGCTTGATAGTGCCTGACTATCCAAGCTGCTACTGATTATCGTCCCCGGCAGAGGGTGATGATGGTGAGAAGTCCGAGTAAAGTTCCGATAATGGAAGCGATAAGCTCGAAGAAGTCGTGGTTCAGATCGGCGGTTGTTACTGGTGGCATTCGGTTTCTCAGCACAATTGGGCTTGAGAAAGGGAAGATGAAAGCTTCAAGCTAATTGTTAAGCCCAAGCGTCACGTGAACAGATACACGTGATAAACAGGTGTTCCTTCGCACTTCGAGGAATCACCTGAGTCCACTATTGTATATCTGTGCAGTGTGACATAAGGTCAGGCGTTGACTCAAGGTAGAATGGTATGTATAAACTTTAGCTCGAAGCTGGGGTTACCAGCAAGAGCGTTGGTTCTTAAATACTGTACAGTGGTCTCCTAATTATACTACTTACTTATTATGTGTGTCTGTATCCATAGTGTTCGTTGTCCTGGGGTCCTGAGGCATCACTACCGTATATAAAAGGGTGATTGTGTTGTTGTCGGGCTTGACCATTGTAGTGTCTTCAGTGGGCAGATTAGTTGTGCTGACTAATCTTTCCACGATCTCATGCCTTCTGACTAAGCATAAATAGGGGTAAAAGGGAATAAAAAAGAGAAATTCGTAACAAATACCAGCATCTAGTGGCTGGACATATAGAGTCATGTTAGGCTCAAAGAACTTCAGCTTTGTGTTATGAGGTGTACAAGTGATGGAATGCTCTTGAAAGTTGTCCAAGGTCAGCAGAACCTGTTGCATCTCTCTCTTCATCTTTAAATCAAACATCTTCACTCACTTTGTAAATATTTTGCTTGTTATTCAGATCTTTTTGTTATTCTGATAATAGAATCCTATTGCTGTTGGACTCTTTTTTTTGAAATACCACAGTTGCTTTGACTTTCCAATGAAAACAACTAGCATCCACTCACTCTCATCTGCATTCACAGCAAAACACTGATATGCAGGCTAAATGTCCAGCCCTATAATCGTTACGATTTTCTTTTTCTTAACCCCTATTTTGATTAGTCAAGGCATCAAAATCAAGCACTTGAGCCATGGGAAGGGCTTAGTCATCACAAAACAAGCCAACCTTATCATGGTTATTTGATGCAACTGATGTCTAGCAACAGATACACAATCACTCTTTTATGTACAGTAAAGACACCCAAGGACAATGGGCACTAGAGGCAGAGGAACATACAATAAGTACAAGTATTAATAGCAACTCACAAACTGTATTTAAGAAAGCTTGCTTTTGCTGGAAACTCCAGCTTTGAGCTAAAGTTTATATTCATCATTCTATCTCGAATCTATATCTGACTTTGAGTCATATTGAGCAGAACACACATTCAGTGGACTCAGCTGATCCCTTGAAGTGTGAAGAGATGACTGTTTACCACATAGAACTGCTCACATGATGCTTGGGCCTAACAATTAGCTCGAAGCTTCGACTTCTCTTTCTCAAGCCTAATTGTGCTAAGAAACCGAATGCCCCCTACAACCTCTACTGACCTGAATTTTGACTACAAGTTCTTTGAACTCCTTTCTTCTATCATTGGAATATTGATAGGATTATTGGTGATCATTCAGCTGTACCAGAGATGCCATTTAATCACTGCCTGGGCCCTCAGACATTATAATGAATTCCTACACATCCATGAAATTCTATGAAACATAATCCCAGACCTCTCCCTCCATGACATCTCTGAATCCCGAAGAATGACCTACCAGTTTCCAGAAGCTGGGCCTAGTGGTACACATCAGAGAAATGGTCAAGAAGAAGCAGGAGAACAACATTCCCCTTGACTCAGACACTCAGACACTAGCATCTCAGAGAGACATGGTATACTTGTATCAGGATCTCCTCCCAACCATGAAGATGAAGATCTCCTGGAGGACTTCTTCTGGCAGTCCTCCTCTCTCTTTTCCACCTCTCAAACCCATAGGATTGCTGACCATACCAGAGACTCTCTTAATGCCCCTTGGATGGCTTGACAGCCAGACACTAGACCTCCTTGAAGCCAGTCTCACAGCCTCTATCTCTCTATCAGGACCAGCTTCAGGGTGGAGAGGGTTCTCTTGGATGAAGAGCAACGACGACGAGTATGAGAAGAAACCATTCACTGGTACTTCCCGACCTGAGACTTCACTGTCCCATTTAACTATAATGATGCCATTTGACAGAAGGAGCAAAAGCAGTAGAATAAGCCACAATCAGTACATTGTGAGCCAGAGGAGCAAACTGCAGTCCATGAGCAGTAGAGGCAGAAAGCCGCACAGTATGACAAGCTCCACAGAAACAAGCAGTGAGAAGTTGAAAGAGCCAGATTGAAGGAGGCTGACATCAGGAACTGATATGAGTTATGCCCTGAGGTTGCAAGTGTTCTCACTCCTGTATGAGCCAACTCTTCTGCCCCTGCCCTGATCTTCTGAGAACCTAGTACCCCAAGTAGTGGAGTCCCAGAACACTAGGCTGACAGCACCTAAACTAGATGATACTCAAGACCTCTGACTCTCCAGTACCTCTCTTCCTCATAAACCCCCAGCACAGACTCTGCCTTCAGAAGCAATGAGTCTGTTCTTGGACATTATAGTTTATGAGTCTCCAGAACCACCCACATCTCTGTCTGTGCTCTCTAAGGTTTTCTCAGAAGTAGAGTTATCAGACAGCTTATTGATGATGACTACCAACACAATGTCTGCCTCTATCGCAACAGAGTGGAGGTGGCAAGAGTGACTGGAGGAAATCAATATAGCCCCAGCATTGGGAGTTGACCAGCCGCCATCTATAAAAACACCCCAATTGCTGGATTGAGTGCCCAGCCAGGGGAGCGAAGCAACAATATACTAAGAGGTCATGGAGAGCATTTATAACCAGCCCATCGGTTCCCTCCTTGAGGAGGATGATGAGAATGAGAAAGAAGAAACAGAGAGCAGTGAACCCCCTAGGGGGCCACTATACAATTTACAAGAAGAGACAGATAAAGAAGAAGTAAACAGGTTAGCTCAAGAAGAAAGGATACAGGAGTATCAGAAGTATTACCTGTGAGGAGTAAACTTTTTATAGCATGATGTTGCCTGGGCGGCATCGCAGATGGGACAATTATATTTGCATTCAGATATTAACAAATGAACAGAAATTCTGAGGTGGGCAGCAACAGACTATGCCACCCAACAATACAATCAAAGGCATTCTGAATACCCAGTTAGCCAACCACTGGCTTATCCAGTCATCTCTATCATATGACCAATGCTGAAAGCTCCCTCCATCATGCTGAGACAGGCCATATACTGAGCTCCATCAGTGCAGAGCACCCTTACATGCTTTGATTACTCTGCCTAAACCACAGCAACTCAGCTCACTAAAACCCGAACTCAGCCAACAGCAGAATATCAAAACTCTTGGATCAGCAAAGGAAGCCAACTTCTAGAGAGGCAACTGCCTCCTAACCAGATGGAAACCAGTGGAACAGAGAAGGAACCTATACAGAATGACCCTGAGGCCATCCACCTCAGGTTTACGGTCCAAAATAGGGTCATTGTCTGAATTGAAGACCCAAAAGGAAGCCTGATCACTGACAATAACTTGCTTCATTCATTCCCAGGGCCACCAGCAGAATGGCAGCAGCTGCTGTTCGCAGGATGGTCCAATCCAATAGATGCACTGCTAGAAAATGCCAATATCCTCCAATACCGCCTTGATCTCCTTTGAAAACCTTGTGTTACGATTTATTCCTTCTTTCTTTCTTTTTACCCCTATTTCACGCTGAGTCAGAAGGCACAAGACCATGGAGAGTTTAGTCAGCACAACTAAAACCCTCCATCCAGACATTACGATGGTCGTGCTCGACGACACACAATCGCCCTTTTATGTATGATAGCGACGCTCAAGGACAACGAGCACAATGGACTAGACATACACAATAGGCAGTAGTATAATTAGTAAACAGTTGTACAGTATTTAAGGACCACAGCTCTCGCTGGCATACCCCAGCTTTGAGCTAAAGTTTATACATACCATTCTACCTCAAGTCTATATCTGACCTTGAGTCACACCATTCGGATATACATATAGTGAACTCAGGTGATTCCTCGAAGTGCGAAGGAACACCTGTTTATCACGTGTATCAGTTCACGTGACGCTTGGGCCTAACAATTAGCTCGAAGCTTCTACCTTCCCTTTCTCAAGCCCAATTGTGCTGAGAAACCGAATGCCTCCAGTAACGACCGCCGACCTAAACCACGACTTCTTTGAGCTAATCGCTTCCATCATCAGAACACTGCTCGGACTTCTCGCCATCATCACCCTTTGCCACGGACGACAATCAGTAGCAGCTTGGATAGTCAGGCATTATCAAGCATTCCAACACATCCAACAAATACTACGCAACGTAACCCCGGACCTCCCTTTCCATGACATCCCCCCCTCCGCCAGAACGTCCTTCTTCTCGCAAGGGGGACCCGTACCAGAAGCCGGGAATAGCGACCCGGATCCGGGGAGCCTTCACGAGGAGGAAGGACCCCGACACACCATTCGACGAGACGATGGAAACCGCCATCCTGCTCTCACAGGGTTCTGGAACCCGTGGACAACGAACGTCGCTCACGAGCCCGCCGAGGTCTCCAACTACGTCACTCCGGCCAACTCCCCCGAGCATTCCACCTCCCCGATTCCCTCAGGGGTTGGAAACCATGCTCGGGACTCCCTTGATGCTGCTCAGATGGCTACGGGACCCCGCGAAAGTCCCGAGCCCCCCCAGAACCCCCCCGAAACCCCCACCGAGCCAAACTCTGACTCCAGCCCATCCGTCAGCAGGCTGGGGGTCGACAACCCGCGAGGAAGGGATATCCATCCCGACTATGACAATGCCGACATCGCCATCTCCGCGGCAGGAGATCCATATCGACACCTCCACGTGGGGAGTGAGCCTGAGACTGGGACCGCCAGCGAAAGAGGGAGGGCCGCCACGAGAAGAATTATACAGAGGATATTCCCGGAGTGGGACCTCAGCGTCCCCTTCGACTACGATGAAGCAGTCAGACAGCAGCAGCAGAATCAAGAGCGAGAAGAGGCAATTAGGCGAACACAGGAGGAGCTCGCCGACTACGTCCGAGAGGAAGCCCGAGAGCAGTATGAAGCTGCAGAGTATGACCGACAAGGACGAGCACAGAGAAGGAGAGAGAAAATTGAAAGAATGGGGTCAGCTTCCCCTAGGGAGTATGAGCTCCGAACCGACTCCGGATCCCCCTTCAGAGAGCCTGACTCGGAGGACGATCTATGGACGGGATCTGCCAGCATCGTCAGCTGGGACGAGGCCATCCGACGAGGAAGGACGGGAGAACCCCAGACCGTCGACCTCGAATACCCCACCCGTACCGACACTATCTCATCGGACGCCGACTCCGTCCTCGGAGCCTACGGGCTCCGAGTACCCGACAATGCCCATGTCTCCGACAGGGCTCTCCAGCGATTCCTGGGTAGCAGGGTCGCTCGACAATTCCTTAACCCCGAGTTCCAGCGACTCTTCAGCCGCTATAGCCGAGAACTGGAGGAGACGAGAGCGCGCGGAGGGACGCGCTACAGTCGACTCAGAAGCCCTCCCATCGCCCAGACCAGCGACCGAGACGACGACGGGCCCAGTACCCAAGTCAACGGAAGGGTCCCCAATGACCCTTCGACCTCTCGTACCATCCATCTACGACCAGCCCGTCAGTTCCCTCCTCGAGGAAGGGGACAGCGGGGCCGAGGGCGACGAGGAGGACGACGAGGACAGTGATGATCCATATCGACAATGGCTGGAACGGGCAGGGGAAGATACAGATGAAGAAGCACTACAGGAGGAAATCGAGAGGGCCAGAGGCAAGGAATATCAAGAGTTGTATGAGCAGGGGAGGAATTACTTATGGCAGGACGCACGCTGGCAAGTGACGTCCTTAGGACTTGAGTACAGGTATGCGGCAGGTACTGAAAAAGAAAAAATTCTACAGTATGCCGCGACGGAATACGCATGGAGGGAATATGGTCGACGGCACCCGGAAGACCCCCTCATGCCGATACCCCTGTATCGGCCCGACAACAAACCAAAGACACCGGCACCAATGCCGTGAACCCCCCCCGTCCCACCAAGACGGGCTGTTTACATCGCCCCCTCTATCCGGAGCTGGACCGATGACAACCCGTCAGTCCGAAGCATGGCTTCGCGGCTTATCCACACAAGAAATCGACCGGCATGGCAGGCCGCTCAAACCCGAAACCCTTGGACCAGCAAAGGAAGCCGGCTCCTCAGCGGACAACCTCCTCCAGACCAAGCAGAGTCAAGTGGGAAGGACCCCATTCGGGATGACCCCGAGGCAGTCCACCTCGGATTCACAATACGGGATGGAGTGATCATTCGAGTAACCGACCCAAAAGGGAGCCCAATCGCAGACGACAACTCCCTGCACTCCTTCCCTGGACCACCCACGGAATGGAAACAACCGCCCTTCGACGGATGGCCCAACCCGATGGGGGCACTTCCGCATAACACCAACGTCTTACAATGCCACCCCGACCTCCTTCGAAAACCGCGTCCCTTCAAGGGAGCCTCTAACGACATTGACCGGTTCCTGGTAGACTGCGAACAGTATTTCGAAGTCTACGTCGGGTACATCGGGACTGACATGAACAAGGTCGCCTTCGCTACTTCCTATCTAGAAGACAAGGCCAAAACATGGTGGATTCTTATCTCCCCGAACTTCCGGTCCACCACTAGGGAACATTATCGATACCCCTCGTGGCCGGTCTTTAAGCGCATGCTGAACGACAAATTCATCGATCCTGCCATTCAAGAAGTGCATAAACAGAAGATCAAGGAGTACAAGATGGGAGATAGGGTGGCCACGGACTACTTCGACGAACTAGAGCGACTTGCGAAACTCGCCGGAATCAGGGAAGACACTGCAAACGACGGACGGATGGTGGAAGCGCTCAAGCGAGGAGTCCCCTCCTCGTACCTCACGATGATCTCTGCCATGGGCGTCAAAATGTTGATGCCGGTAGGGTATGACGAGTGGAAGGAAAGGATCATCGAGATGTACAAGGAGCAACAAAGGCAGAAAGCGGAGGCAACGACATTGCAGGAATATTCCAAAAAGCCGACCCCGCCAACCCCGAACAAGCCGGGGCAAACTGCCGGAAAAACCTCGGGCTCCTCGTCGAACACCACCCCCTCATACAGCGCGCAGAAGACCGGGACCGGCACAACTTATACCGGGACCGGAAAGCCGATGGACATTGACCGCATGAAGAAGGAAGGAAAGTGCTTTAATTGTGGACAGAAGGGGCACATGGCG